ATATATATATATATATATATATATATATATATATATATATATATATATTATATATATATATATATATATATATATATATATATATATATATATATTGAATTATATATATATATATATATATATTTAAATTCAATCGAGCAGGATTCAATTATCCTCTGTGACATCTTACCGACGCATGAGCAGCACTCGTCGTACAAGTAACTCAAACACGAGAAGCAGTCTTTGCAGCAGGTGCAGGTGACCAGATCGCACTTGCAGCTCTGCGTCAACATGCACTTGCTGACAACACTGGCACAGATCGCCTCGTTGCACGCTTCTGAACGTTTCGTTGCGGTCGTCAGTAACAGAATCCCGACGATAGCCGCGACGAACAACACGCTCCACCTCGTCATCCTGTTTAGGATAAATTCGAGTTAGTTTTTTCCTACCTGACTTGCACACTTTGCACAAAACAGTAACGGTAAAACTCTTTTCTCAGATTCTCATTACGGATTTATGTACTTTGAGACGAGGAGAGATAAGGAGATCTCCTTGGAATTTTAGATATACGGACGTAAATAAGTTTTTCAAATCGTTCGGCTTGAGAAAATTGTTTTGAAATTGTGTGTCGAAACATAAATAATGAGACGTTTAAATTATTTTGTCACGGAAAAAAAAAACAGGTTGCTCAAATGTATGAGTGTGCGTTGCGATTTGTTAATGTTTGCCTTGAATAAATTATTAATAAATTCAGTAGTTTTCCACGTAGCAAATTTCAAAATTTGACAAACGAGATTCTATAATTATATAAAAAGGAAAGAAATTTTAATGCATGTTATAAATAAAAGAACAGAAAATAACAGAAGTCATGTACTTATTCCGATTTGTTTTCTACGTAACTAAAAAAATTAATTTAAGAAGAAAAATTATTAAGTAGATCATCAGTACTTTTCACAAAAAAAAAGCATTTTCAAAAACATCTTGGAATTCGGAATGTACTCTTAAGCAAGTTGCAACGGAATAAAGTTCAAATTTTTCTCCACGTACAATAATTTTTGTACAATATTTTTTTTTTTATTAGCCATATATTTAACATACCGTCGTCGTTTTCATTTTAATCTATCTAACGAAACAATTTTGTTCAGACATTTCTAGAAGGGCTTCTTACTAGCACAATATTTTTGAGCGCTATAAAATATTGTGACTGCTACAAACTATCCGAAATTTTTTCCACGTAGAAAAATGTCATCCTTTAAAATTTCTTTGGAAATTGTGAAAAGCTCGATAAAACGGCCTGATTAAAGGCTAAACTATAAGCGTGACTTGATCATCACGTTATCGCTGAAAATTATACGACCGCGTTTAACCGCAACAGTCCACGCGCGTTTTTACGCGCACTTTTTCTTTACGCATTATGTGGATGTGGATTATTATTTATCTGCTGGTAGATAGCCGGACAGTGTACACGATTATAATTATACGACAGTTTCCCTACCTCACTCCCGGAGTGGCGTTACCAGTGGAGACGAGAGGAATGAATTATTCCGACGCGCGAGGCCCGATTAAGATTATTAAGAATATTCACGAACGTGAGTCAGGGTGTCATTAAGCGGGAACGCGTGCTAAAAAGAATGAAATTTCAGTCTCCTCTCCTGGCAAACGCTGCTATAACGTGCTAACCCGAGAACAATCAGCGTAATGTTGCTCTTCTCCATTCCAGGGATAACCGCCGAGGTCACCGTTTAAACTCCGTTTAAGCCTTCGCGAATTCGGGGTCTCTTCGCTAATGGAAGTGGAAGTGATTTCGCTTCCTGCCCGCAAGAAATTGTGAAAATTAAAACGGAAACCGTTTCCCACGGCGAGGCGCAAAAGATATGAATCTTCTTTAAAATTAACCAACAGCAAATACAGACGGAGAAAGTTACGTAGAAATTATTTTTGGATTATCTTTTGATTTCTCGATCGATCATTCGCAGACTTTTATATGGCAAATTGTTTCTTTTGGCAGGTGATGGCAAGTACACACAAAATTTGCTAGTTAGAAACGCGATTCTTCGTTTCTATAAAATGCTTGCGATTGTCGAGAGTCATAATCTTAGACTCTTCAAAATTATTATGTGTCCCTGTAAGCTGACAGCTGCAAATTATTCCCTGGAGCATTGAATATGGCAAGATAACAGGGAAGGATAAGGAGACGACATTAATCGAATGCGAAGTGATCATTCGTGCGATAATTGCACCTTTCGAACGCGCCCATTAAGAATCTATTTATATATCGCACATAATCGCGTCGTACGATATCGACTCGAGTGAATTATTATTGGAAAAGAATTCCGCTACAACGACCTGTTGCACGCGATGAATTGAAAAGGCGCGACCGACTCGATCTCAAACGTGCTCGCTGCTGACGGCCACTTTCACGCTCCGCACTTTCCACACGTTTTCACATCTTCTGTTCATTAATACGCTACTTGTGATATTCCAGTCCCCCTTTGATCGCAACGCAGGAGCGGCACAGGTGAAGTCTGCTAAGTCGAGCTAGGTTTTCTATCTTTTAATTTAAACACACCTTAAACAACTCGTATCTCCAACCTTTTTTTTTTACATTATTTTTTTTCCTTACATATGTATTGGAGGCACGAATTATCTTCCGCGCATGTGTCCTACGTTATCCACTCTCTCGTTTGTATTACACACATTAGAATTGGTTGTAATAAAACTTTACTTTTTCCTTCCTATACTTCCGCACGTGAGCTTTCCCATCGTATATTTGATCGTACAGTCAGCGTCATTTTTCAGCTTGTTACATTTTTCTGCCCGCTTGTTGTTACTTCGTTGAAGACTACCGAATGACAGAACCCACCACGGCAGATTCCTGCTGTCGACTAATCGCGAGCTTTTTGACGGAGGACGCAGGGACGACTGTACTTTTAAGGTAGAGACCCCTCCCTCTCCCCCTCCCCCCACTCAATTTCGACTCGGTCCTGGGTCATTCGTAAATGAAGGCGCACGATCGCTGTAGAATGGTTTACGATTTCAGGTAATTATCTGCCATGTTCTTTCATATGAGCCGATATGAGCCACTTTGATTTGGAGGCGGTTTAGTTAAGCCGTTTGAATGTTATCACACCTATTTTTATAATTTTTATATTAACAGAAATAAAAAATTATGAAAAATTACAGATCACTCTAAATTGCATTTAAAATTAACACAAAAAAGTTTAGCAGCGGTTTAGAACCTCTGCATCCAAATTATTATTTAAATAAATAAGTAGAAGTGTGCTCTAATCAAAATGTAATTAGAAATAATAACAAAAATCTAAATTTTCTTATATAATTACTTTAAGTTAAAATTATTTATATAAAGTTTTCTTGCAGAGATTAGGGATATTTTGTAAATAAAAATTTTATTTTATTCACAGAATAATTAATCTTTGCATTGCAAGATGTATTTAAATCATTTTAAATACTTAAAGTATTTGGATAAAAAAATTGAGATTTTTGTCATTATTTCCTAATTACATTAAAGCATTAATAGAATTTATAATTTTTTTCATGATTTTTTCATTATAAATAAAAATAGGTATAATATATTCCCTAAAGATTTCCGTCATTACGGAAAAACGGTCAGTCTGGATAAATCGTTAAAATTAATTATCAATGTATCTGTATCGAAATCTATATCGAAATCTAAGAATTTTGAAAATATTTATTAGTCATTTCTACCGCTTCAAGAGATTCAGCTGTTTAACGACCTGCTCAAACGAGAGTCGGGCTATTCATCAGTTCTATTATGCTCACATGCATGACAAGCAACAAGAATAACGGGGGCTGTTCCGCTTTCACCGTGTCAAATTGATACCCTTTATAATAATCTTTTAAACTGTATTTTATATTGGAAAGTATTTACTCGGATTTCAATTTTAAAAGTTTTAGAGATTTAAAATAAATTCCTTAATTTCTGTGTACATAAAACGTCACTGGCTAATCGCTATTAAATAAATGTAAAGACACATTTAGAAACTACTTTTAGAAACTACTAGGATCTTAGATGGCATCATGTGCACTTTTGAGCTTTCGAACAAATCTCTTTCAGAGATTTTCCCCAGAGGACTTAATTCTTTCCCAAGCATTTTGCCACAGTGCATTCATCGAAACGATAATAGTCTTCCTTTTGTATCCATCGAGCGAGACGTTGACGATTATCGTTATGCGAAAATAGAGGTATGCGAATTTTCCGTTGCATTTTGCCGTTGTTTATTCACCGCCAACTGGCAACTTGACGGATCGCCGTGCCTCATTTTTTCTTGGAGGCTGATCGGCGTAAAGCGGAATAAATAAGCGTGCGTGGTATGCCCGAGACACCACGTACGTGGAGACGGGCGCGATCGGACGGAATTTTTAATAAAAATTCCAGCTCGCGAGCGAAATGTGGATGTTTGTCATCCAGGCGTGCTGCCGCTGTCGCTGCCGCTGCCGCTGCCGCTGCCGCTGCC